TAGTCATAGGATGCCGCTAGAATAGTTGAACATTGGATCCCGGAACCTTAAACTTCTGCAGCTTTTTATCCTTGTAAAGGTTTTTTTTTTTAAACTTTGCTCCAAGCAACCAGGGAAATCTCAGCCGAGGTGCGTGGGCTTTGGTATCATGCTTTTTCGCTGTCGTAGTCAGCGAGCCCACGTGCAGCACGGGAGATTGTGAAGAGAGCAACATCCTGCAAGCTTGGAGCACGATGCCGCAGTTCTCTGTAAATCAAACAGAGGCAGAGAGCGTGGCGGCTTGTGGAAGTGCCCCCGGGTGTCCCAAGAATGGATGTTGGTTCTTCCCCTTCACATTTGCGAAGGACTATGAGTGCGTTTATGTGGTGCGCTGACCTTTGGCTCCGACCAAAGTGATGTATTGCCATGCCGGCAGGCTCTACGACTGCGGTACTAAGCCTGAGGCGACTTGTCATGACTTCCAAGCCCCCGATCCATGTGCTACAACAACCGGCACCACCACTACGGCCACAACCACGACCACCACGACCACCACAACCACCACAACCACCACAACCACCACAACCACCACAACCACCAGCACGACCACCACAACCACCACCAGCACCAGCACGACCACAACAACGACCACTAGCACGACGACCACAGAGAAGTTCAAAGTGGCATTTTCGAAAGCCCTTGCACAGAATGAACTCAATCAGACCCTCCGCGACGAGTCTTCTGCGCTGGATGCCGTGCTTCAGGACTGCACTGGCCTTCAGGAACAGCGCGTGACTTTCCTCCCAGACGGCACCATTCATCTTGAAATGCAGGATTCTCTTTGCTTGGACTGGGATGCGGGTGGGCTGTTTCGCACCAACAATGTCTACGAGGCAGTTTTCGTGACTTACTTCCCAACCTGGAAGGTCAACACGCACTGCTTTATTTTCCAGGGCCAGGAAGCTCGGCCCAAGCCCAAGCATCTCATTTTCTTGTGGGACCTAAAGGGGTGTACCTGCTTGGAAGCTTCAGATCCAAGGAGGTGAAAGCTGTTCCATACGTGGCGGGGGATTGTCCAAAGTGGCAGTGGGATTTCGCGACTTCTGCCTTGGTGCATGGAGACGCCTGTCTGACGGTGTCCGAAGCTTGGCTACGGAATTGTCGGTTGAGGTCCCTTTGGTACCAACGTCGGCAGGGTGGGTTTGCATATATTCTGTCACAGGCTCTCTCGCGTATATTTCTGTCTCTATATATGTCTATATACACACACACATACATACAAACACATATACAGGGTTTCAGAGAACTCTTGTGTCAAAGGCTCGGGATTTCGGGATGCCTTTGGGCATGAAGCATCTCGTTCTTTCACTTACCGACCTGTGTGTCACACTAGGTAACTTGCGCACGAGACTTTCTTTTGATTGTAACGTGCCGCTGGAGCGCCACCATTTCTCATGTCCAGTTGATTTCACGCGACTTGGTCTTGGGGACGTCTCGTGAAGGACTGGCACATGAAGGCTAGTATTTGTGGTCGTCAGCTTGGTTGGTGAGCCTAGGACTTCCCTGAACTCTTGGATGCGAACGAGACAGCCAGGAACTTGGCCAAAAAGGACGCCACACTGCAGGATTGCGACGGTTCCGAAGCTCAGAAATTCATCTACAACGCCGATGGGACGATTCAACCGCGCGGACAAGATCTTTGCTTAGACTGGGATGTGGCCGGCGTCTTTATCAAAGACAATGTTTACTTCTACACTTGCAATCTTCAAGACAACCAAGTTTGGGCGCCAGTGGAAGATTCTTGAACTTAAAATTGGATTGCATCCTTTCCACTGGCTTCCTGCATGTTGGGAATATGTTTCGTGTTTGCTGTCCCGAAGACAGCCAAAGCAACAGAGCTCACTCCCGCGGACAATGTTCCTCAGTGAGTGCAGCGAAGAGGTATTGGTTGAACGCCAGAGGCAAAAATCCCACTGAAAGCCTTGAACCCAGGACCCATAAAGATGAGTTCTCCGGCACCAGTGGAAGTGACGTTCCTCAAAAGAAGACTGCTTCCTGAAGCGACGATAGGAAGGATGTGAAGCTCGCGGTCTGATGAAGGCCGTGCACAGCTCTCTTCTGGTATTCGTGCAATGACTAGTGTATGACAGCAAGGACCTTGACAAGAAGCATAATCTCGCGCAGTGAATTGCTTGAGAAGAAGAGGTTTGCCTCTTGCATCGTGTCATTTCTTTTGCAAAACACAGGGGACACAAAACTCACCCGGTTTGAGGTCTCAGCCTGATTGGTGTGCCGCTGTCTGAGCTCGTCGGGGGTCGTCAAGACACTGGCCCTTTTATGACCGCACAAGGTTGGTCGACGAGTGTCTTGTACAGTATTATGCGCATCTCGGACGTGTTCTGTACCGAAAGAGCTCAAGCAATCACAGAAATTTCAGTTCTCATCGTAACTCATTCAGAGACACTGACAAGTTGCATTGTGCCTGCCACGTGTTGGGAGAACGTGCCTGAAACTTCCCAGTGCAGACGCCGGCCGAGCACATGCTGGGTAGTCCAAAGCCATGAGACCTGTCACATCGTAGGGTCCAAACGGCGTCGCCATTCTGTTCATCAAGAGGTTTTTAGGAATGTAGGGTTGCGAGTCTCAGATCACCGCAGACAGTTTTGTTGGTCTGTGGCGGTGTGGCGAGATGGAGATGATGGAAACCTTGCTCCACAGGCACCGGGATGCAAGGCCACTGGCTCGGTTGAATAGGAGTTGGCCCTTGAATTCATTGATAGCTGCTCGCTGCATTAGCTAGAGTAGCAGCACTGGCAGCAGTACAGTAGCGCCCAACAGTGTAAGCAGTCGTGGGAGCGGCAAAGTAACATTCGCTGTCGTCGTGGTCGTCGTCGTCGTCGTCGTAGTGGTGTTGGTGCCAAGGGCGGCGGTGGTGGTGGTGGGGTTGGCGGGGGTGGTGGTGGTGGTGGTGGTGGTGGTGGTCGGGTACCTCTGCATGACTATCGCCATCTCCATCACCACAATGAGCTTACCAGCTTGAGTATCGTTTTCATCGTCAGCATCCTCAGAGCAGTGACAGTGCGACGACGCCAATTGCGACTGACATGACATGTCTGTCCGAGGGTCCAACCCGTCTGTCGTCCTCTTTAGACTGCTTTAATAGTCATTGTTTTTTCGTTGTTGTTGTTGTTGCCGCTGCTGCTGTAGCATTGTCAACATGCGCCACGTTCTTCAGCTAACTCTGCCCCTGGCCCTGCGTGCAGACGTCGGTGGCAGTTTGCCTGAGCGATGGAGGCGCCATGGCCCCGAAAGCAGGGCAAATCGGGCAAATCCTCAACAATAGACCCTTGTTCAAACCCAAGGCGAATCGCGAGAGCAAGTGACATCGTTCTTTGTGCCAATAATGCTCGTGGTAGCTATGGGGGCTTGCTGTACAATGGTTCTGCTTCTTGAAAACCGGGATCATGCACCAAATCGAAGAAGCCATAGACTTTGAGCACCATTCCGCACTGGACCCTGCAAGCCGTAACTCGCAACATCCTGAGCAGCGTCAGAAATCATCAAAGGCAAAGGCTCTCATCCCCCCGGCATTCGTATCATCACCAACCTTAAACCGTAGACCCCAGCCAAGAAGCCCTGAAAAAACGTCACTCGGAGGCTGAGCTTGGACATTACTTCCTCGAGGGCTTTGGGCAGTCCCATTCGCCGAGGACGCTTCTCGCATCGTGAGAGCAACATCGGGCCTTAGGATTCTTACGGTAGTGGTACCACTTCACTCTTGAACACACCGTGGCCTTCGGTAGATCTCGGTAGTCTTCCGAACTGAGATCTGCATCTTCGGCAACTTCAGAGGACTGAGTCGACCCCGCCCATCAGAGAGGACGAGGACGGGTCACTGCCGTTTTGGGTTTAGGGGTTTAGGGGTTTAGGGGCTTAGGGTTTAGTGTCTGAGACCTTTCTCAAGCCCGAGTTCCCCCAATGTCTAAATGCCAAGGAGTTGAGTCCGACTACAGCGCTCCTCACCCCAACCTCGCAAGGCCTGAAATCCTTCTCCCGAAGCTCAGAAGGTCTCAATTCCCTAGATCCCCAAACCCCAAGCCCTAAACCCTAAACCCCAAACCCTAAACCCCAAACCCCAAACCCTAAACCCTAAATCCCCAAAAACCCCTAATCTTCTAGGCCCTGTCCCTTCTCTTCAGGGCTAAACAGCCCCGGGAAGCCTTTGCAGGCCCGGGCCCTTCAGGCCGAGCCAGGGCCTCGGTGGAGCCGCGGATCTCCGCGGAGAAGGAGGGACTTTTGGGAGTTTGGGGTTTAGGGACTTTTGGTTGGGACTTTTGGGAGTTTGGGGTTTAGGGACTTTTGGTTGGGACTTTTGGGAGTTTGGGGAGTTTAGGGTTTAGGGTTTAGGGACTTTTGGGAGTTTTGTTGGGCTTTGGGCTCTGGGGCTCTAGGGCTCCAGGGCTCTAGGGCTCTAAAGTTTGGTGCTCTCTGTTGGGTTCGCCGGCTCCCTCAGCCATAACTCTTGATCGCTAAACTAATACGCATAAAAAGAATCCGTGGCCCTTGCTTTCCCTTCAACTTCAGGCTGCCAGCTTCCGCTGTTTGCTTGGCTCCGTCGGGGGCTCATCGGATTGACTGTTCAGGCTGTTTGGGTTTGGGGTTCAAGCTGAGGGGTTGAGCCAGCCACGTTTTGGGTTGCGCGAGCCTCGTCACCCGATGAATGCTGTATCATGGTTCTACTCTCCTTTCACTGGCATCCCCCGAGAGCCTCTTAGGCCCTAGGCGTGACGCCCTCAAGCCCGGAACCCTGCCTAAACTGCCCCGAGCCCGAGATTACACCGATCTTCTTGGAATCACACATGTGGCTTTGAAGCTTCGGCCGCATCCAGGCCTCCCGCTCCTCTGGAGCAGTGCGCGGTGGGGGCGTTGGCAAGCGGGTCCAGTGATTCACAGGTCTGGTGCTCTTGCCGGCATTTTCTCTTGTGCTCCTCGGGGTGACCTTTGCTCTGCGAGGTCCTCGTGATCGACTTCTTGCAGGGAGCGCGGCAGGAAATCCAGGCCACTGGCTGCACGTACGTTCACTTCAGTCGAGGAACTCTACAAGGGCATTTAGGTGGAGGTGCTCCACGCATAAAGTCGGTCGCAGCTCTGAAGTCTGGGCATGCGCGCTCGTAAGAACCCGTTTGGAAGTGGAAATGGTGATCAATGTTGAGCAAGTGACCGCACGAAGTGCATGGGCTTCCTGTTGATCTTGCCTTGAAAAGTCTCGTGAAAGTGGCTCGCCGCTAGTGATACTTGGGTGCGTCGCTTCTTGTTTTGTTGCTTCGCTCAATTTCGGGACATGGGGCCAGTTCATTGCCGGATTGATTCTCTTTGGTGGGTTCAGTGCGAGGCTTTTTGTGTGGAGGTGCCGCGTCCGTACCCAGCCGAGACTTTCCTGTCCGTGTGCTATCAGACTGCTATCACTTGCGCATAGTCAGTATAGTCATCTACCCCAGACCCAGTCTGGTGAATTGGGCTGGTGCAGGCACTTGTGCCCATGCTCAAACGGTATTCCTTTGGCGAGGTAGATGCTGCGCCGGAGCAGGCCTTTGCTGCCCTCCTGAAAGCACTATACCCCGAGTCGAACCCTTCCCCCCAAGATCTTAAAGCATGACAAGCTTGTGCAGACCTCGATAGTGACAAGCCGGGACAAGAAATGCCGAGGAATGCAGTTCCGTTGCTGTTTCCTTCAAGCGTGTCGTTGCTCAGGGCCCACGTGTCTGAAGCCCATCAGCCGTGGAATTGTCGGTCCTCGCACCAGTCACGTTTTCGGGTCACTTGGAGGCGGAAGTTTCGGACGGAGAGGCCATCCTCCAGGTCGTGGAGGGGGTTGTTGGCCGCTTCAGTGTTGGCTGAGGGCCTTCTTCCTTTCTGGGGACTCCTGAAGCTGTTTCGTTGCTCCCGCCTCGAGGAAGTTCCTGACACTTGTCTATTCCAGAAAGCGGCATGAGGACAAGATTCATGCAGATGCGCAGTTGCAACAAGCAAGGGTCTGTAGTCAAGCGTTGTAGAGCGTAGTGTATAGTTATCTGGTTGCACTGTAGCGCAATGTGATTTGCCAGCGTGTACTCTGCAGCGTCGATCAAAGTACCGGGAAACTGTCAAGCTGATCATCGCGTAGCGATTCATCGCAATACTTCGTGGCCAGTTTGTTGTACTGAGTACTGTTCTACCACATTTAAAATATGCTGTACAATTTACAGCCTATTGTGTCTGTTTCTAACATGCTGTACCGCGACCCCATCCACAGATCTTCATCAGACAACGCCCGAGATGAAGCAACCCTAAACCCGAAACCCTAAGCCCAAGATGAAGCAACCCTAAACGGCCCTAAACCCTAAGCCCTAAACCCAAGACTTTGTCTGTGCGGTGTATGCCGTAAAAGGTGGTGAATCCCCTATGTCCGGGTTCCTCAACAACCTGCCTCCGCCTGCTAGGCATTCTAACGGAAAGTACAACTGCTATGGGAAAAGGGGCGACAAGAAACAAACCCAAGATGAAGCCTGTGTCAGTCTGACGACGAAGCGCTGCTTCTGGGCGAAGTCGTTGATGGTACCGTGCGGACCAGGCCAGGCTAGGACGGCTGCTATAGGGCCTTATTTTTGGGGTGCCTTATTATATTTATAGTTATAATATACCCTCAAACCCGATTCTAATCATTAAGGCCCCTACCTTACACTTGAGGCTTGGGATGAAAGTGTCTGCGGCGGTGTGTTACAGGTACAGATACGACATGTGAGTAGGCTGATACATGTTGCCATGT